GTAATGCAGACTGATGAAATAAGACTTTATCCTAAAATGTGTGAAACATTAGGGTTCCAAGTGTTGTCATACCTGTTTCAATCTGTCATAGTCAACAGCTTCTGTTGGCACACCATTGGCACTTAAGGATGCAGTAGGTGTAGGAGTGGATTTAGGTCTGTAAGAGGAGGCAAGGAACACTACTGAACAGTGGAATAAAGGAAAAGGCCAGGAATGAGGTGGGAAAACAAATGGTCAAAGAGCAACACCAATTGCTACATTATATTCTTCTATGTCAAACCAAAAATATAGTTGGATATTACCTAAAATCAACCACCATCTCCCTCAGCTGATTAGCCACACACCTCATAGCCCGACACCAACTAAAACCTGATGCTGCCAAAACTGCAATTAGGAATTAAATCCTGGTTGAAGCATGTCCACACATTCAGGGAAGTGCACTCACCTAGACATGCATGTAAATACATACAAAAGCAAACGCACATGCACACACAGGGTTCAGAGCAGCCTATGAAAAACACTGCAGTTTTTATGGAGGTTCCACACATTCTCTCCCACATGTCAATAAATGATCCTATAGTGTAGGAAATCTCCATGTGTAGTTTATCTCAAATGTCCTCAAAGAGACATCTGACATTATCTGGAAACAACCTAACATTTTTCCAGTTCACAATGATAAGTCAGCAATTAAAGAAAGATTGATGCAGTGGGATTGCTCCTCTATGAGAGAATTATCAGGAGAAAAGGTCACTGAGCAGTCAGTCGCTCTAAACAGAGGAAGCGTGACAGGAAGGAGATGTGAAAGTAAAAGGAAACAGGTAATTTAGTAGCTGTGGCTAGAAATACTGTACACCACTGGGAGCCAGAAATTATCTTTGTGTTGGATTTTTGTGTCATCCATCTACAACTCTGTTTTGAGATCTCTGCTCAAACATGCCCACCAACAATAGGTGTCGGTCCACAGGTGAGGGTTCAAAGACAGGTAACGACTCTCACCGATACTGGGCTATAACAACTCAGTCGTTAGGGGACATTGTTGGCCACCAAAGGACTGAAACACCACCGAGGGGGATAAATATCTCTGGCTCAACACCAGTCAGTCAGAACTGATGAAGCCTCTTGGATGAGAAGTGAAATGGCTTCGACCTAGAAATCTAGTCCAGTTGATTTTTTAAAAGTTTTTTTCAGATTTTTCAGGGTGTTCCCCATTTAAATATCATGTATGTAGAACAAAAAAAAACAGAGGAGGGGAGAAATAGATTCAGGTGTGGACAGCTGCACAGTTTACATTCAGCCCCAGTAAAACTTTATTTACACAGGGAAATTTGTATTACTTTCTTTATTCACTCTGATACGTAGATGAACGTTTGGATTTGATAATAACATCAGGCTGAACAAATAAAAGTAACTGCTGATTTGCTGGCACAATTCGTTTTGCCAAACCACACATCAACATACAGACTAAAATGCAACAGGCATTTAATTTGAACTGTAGGCATTTCTGAAATTGTAAATTATGGTAAAACCATAAGTCAAGATGCAGAAAACAGCAGCAAAGTGCTAGGAGTGTGTGTGGTTTAACAAAATGGTCTAAGGCCTCAGTCTGCTCAGCTCTCCATGGGTCACATATTAGACATTTTTAATGTAATTGAAAACGCCCATCTGGTATCCTCTCATTCATGTGTGTTCACACACACACACACACAGACCGGAGCCTTATCTGTGAGAGCCTGCTGGATCTGTGTTGGCTCCTGTAGTGATAATACTGTGCCAAGTCTACTCTGCACTGGGCGGACACTCAGTTTTGTGTTTGTGTGTATGATAGGGTGGGTATACAATCTGCATATCCACACGTGAATTTCAGTGTTTTGAAGGGGAAAAAAGGTTTGGTGGGCAGCAGGCTGAGCAGCATGCAAAAGCACACGACTTTTACACTAGGAATTCATCATCCATACAATGACTGGTTTAGGAAACACCACATGACATATTGTACCAAATGGTACAACACATGAACAGGCCCCTGCAGTCTGGTAAATTGGGAAAAGAACAAAAACACAATTGCTGTTAAAAGTAGACCACAATGTTCAAAAACATTTATAATAGAGTATAAATCTAACCTTTAAATGGCTTGTCCTAGTGGATTTTGTTTTTTTCTTCTTGTTCTAGGCAGCGGTTTGCTAAATAATGTCATTGGACCTTCTACAGACAGTGGCAACAGACAGTGTCACTATTGAAGTGGATATTTCCCTGAGCCACAAGGGGAAGTACTGAGCAAACTGCTTCTTAGCAAACCTAAATGAAAAGAAGAAGATTGTTAGATTGTTTTAAAGAAAAAGATTTCTCAAACTCTCCAGGGCCTTTTCTCTCTACCTGCTGGAAGAATCTGCTCCCATGAAATTTCTCCACGGAGACTCTCGTCTGTGAGAGCAGCAGAGACACTGAATTTACTAATTACAGTTTAGTATCTATGTCCTGAGCCTAATGAGATGGCTTTGAGTCAGGGCTGTATCTGATCCTGACACACATTTAGCATCAGACTTGCTCACAAGTAAAAACTCTTGTTGAAAAAGATCATTGTACATTTTCAAACATCCATGGGGTATAATGTAAAAGAATGCTAGAGGCCTTGGTAACAACTACATGTGTCACTGAATTAATGGCAAATTTAGATCCTTAGGAGCTGAAAAACCACCTATTTAACAGCTAAATGTCACCAAGGTTAGTGGTAATACTATGGAAACCACAGAACATACACGTGGCTGTTATGAATTCATCCATACAAAGTGGCTCACAACATCCAAAAAATAACCGCTTGATTTCACACTCCACTATAAGCAGTCAGATGAGTGTCTGATGTATATCTGACATGCACATAAAGGTGACATAAGATTTAGTGATGTTAGCCAGCGCTGAACGGCCCAGCAGTGCACAATGCTAAAGCTAGCTGATGCTAATGTCCCCATAATCCCTTTTACTGCGGAAGTTGTTTAGTGGCACCACTGCTAGCCATTCACTCATGGTAGATAATGAAAATTAAACTCTTGAAACATTTTATATAGATATGATATAAAATGACAAAAATATATGACAAAGAACATATAACTCAGAAAGAGGTGGGGAAACTATACCTTCCAATAACTGGAGATTTGCTACCATTCATGGTGTTTGTTCTTTCCCATGGCTTTCTGGGCATGTCTGGAAAAACACATAAGAAATATAAGAATCAAACTCCATTTACAATGTGACATGACGTTCATCTGATCAGTTAAGTAGATAGAAAAAAACTATCAAGCTCACTGCCAGTAAATCTAAAACAGTAGGTAAATATGTGAAAATCTGTTAGGAAGACGCGTATTAATAGCTATTGCTTTGTGGCCGATGGTTCCCCTGAGTCTACAAACTTTGACCGCCAATTCCTTCTGACACTCACCTGGTGTGCTACAGGCTGACATTTTAGGGGTCGTGTTTATCTCGCCCTCCTCCTGTTGGTCAGACAGAAACAGGATTCAAAAGTCAAAGAGGACTCACACTCCAGAGGTTCCCCATGTGATAATCAGAGACAGCTGCTTCATAGGAGCAACGGATATCAAATAGAGATGGCAACAAACAGTCAGGAGGAGGGAGGTGAAGGATCTCTCGTGTCTGTTTCACTAGTAAGAGCAAAATACAGCTGCATTTCAATGTTATTTTAATTTAAACCCCAAACATTAGAGATCAAGAGTGTAAGAATGTAAGATCTAGAGCTAGATGGATGGAGGAAGGAAGGTGGAAAAAAATTGACATACTTTTTTAAACTTGAGAAAAGTAGACAGGAGAGAAATATAATATAAATAGATTAATTGTGGATTGGCACGAAAATGACAAAAATAGAAAGGAGGTTTTTATGTTTAGAAGTCCTTATACTCCTCTTCATCTTTGGCTACTGATTCAGTACAGCTCTTTGAAAAGGTGAAACCACACATTACAAGTATTGAACAAACTTTTAAAGAACTCTGTGACTGATTTTAAAACAGCTTGATTTTGTCATACATAAAGTGGCACTGGGTAAAGCTCCTGGGTGTGATGGGCCAAACTTTTAAACTTTTTTCTGGTCTGATGTCAGAAAGCTGTTAGTCAATGCTACAGGGGAATGTATTGAGAGACAGGAACCGATGCCTTCTATGAAACAAGGAGTTATAACTGTTATCCCCAAATCTGGTAATGATAAAAGAATACTGGATAATTTGAGACCTATTACATTACTGAACACAAACTATAAAGTTGTATCAGGTGTATTTGTCAGGGCCACTCGGTGGCCGCTGCCTCTCCTCCGCTGCCTCTCCTCCACCTTTCTCTCCTCCGTTCTCTTGATCCTGTGGGCTCTGCACCTCAGCTGTGTTGCATTCCAGTAATTAGCGACTCGTTTGTCGGTGCACACATCTGGGGTACATCCCGATGATTACCTTCTCCTCCTTATTTATACCTCTGGCAGACGCTCCGTCGTCGCCAGAACATTAACTATGTACCGCGTAATATACGTGTGGTTAGAATGCTACGCTGACAGTTCCTGTGCGTTTTGGCTTGACTCTACCACACTACTTATGCGCTACACTAACTTACACTACACTACATACTATACGTAACGTAAATAACATTACTTACCCCAAGTATGTGATTAATATTATGTTTCTACCGCGTAAATGTATGTGTGTTAAGATGCTACGCTGACAGTTCCTGTGCGTTTTGGTTTGACCTTATCCACATTATTTATGCGTTTCGCAAGACGTCTTTTGTTTTCCGCGCTGACAGTTCCTGTGTGGTGGATTACATTGTATACGTTGGTCTTTTTTTAAATTTTTTGTTCTTTCACCTATCTGTCTTCATCTTCCTACCCTTTTGGTTTTTGCCATCAGTCCCAAGGTTCACCTGTCTTACCATAACAGTATTAGCTGAAAGACTTAAGGTATTACACAAATAGTGAAACTCAGTCAGGTTTTCTTAAAGGTAGATCTATTCATCATAATATCTGTCTAGCTCTGGATCTGTTATACTACAATGAACACACTGAGGATGATTTAAACCCCAAACATTAGGGATCAAGACTGTAAGAATGTAAGATCTAGAGCTAGATGGATGGAGGAAGGTGAAAAAAATTTGACATACTTTTTAAACTTGAGAAAAGTAGGTTACCCCAGGGCACATGTCAAAGATTTGAAATTCAGCAAGGTATTAGACAAAGATGTAGCTGTTCTTGTTATTTATCATAGCATCAGAACTCTTAGCAATTTTGATCAAAAATGAAAATTTGCAGGGCCTAACATTTTTTAAAAGAGAATTTTGAATTAGCCAACTAGCAGACAACACCACCCTGTCTCTTAAAAATGAATCACAAATTCCTTTGTCTCTTAACTTGATTGCTTTGTTCTCCAAAGCTTCAGTGTTAACTTTAAATGTTAACAAATGTGAATTAGTGGCGATATACAGTCATCCCTTAGCATCATTATATGATATCCCAGTTAGAAAAGAAATTAAATATCTAGGACTCAATATTAGTAAAAGCGAGGAATCTAGGGAAAAGTGCAACTTTGGAAAAAGTATTGACAAAGGTAAATCAATACCGAGCAGCTGCTTGTAGAGGGACCTGTCGTTGTTTGGGAGACTATTACTTACAAAGACAGAAAGTCTATATAGGCTTGTTTATCCAGCATACTCATTAGCATTTCATATAGAATGATAAAAATGATAAACCAAGATAACCTAAACTTTATTTGGAGAAATAAATGCCATTATATTATGAAAAACAACGTGAAAAAGGTATGACAATGGGGGACTGAAAGTTATTAACTTTGAATGGCATGATCAAGATAAAATGGTTGCAAGGCTTTATGAAGTAATGGGATTCGATTTGGCATGTGATTCCAAATGCAAATTTTAAAAAAATTGGGGGAATTAAAATTCTTTTAAGTTGTGATTATGAACTCAGTAAGTTGCCTTTGTGTTTATTTGAATTCCATCAACAAGTTCTCCAATATTGGAAACGGGTGTTCAAGCATAACTTTTCTCCACACAATATGCTGATCTGAAACAATCGCTGTATTTTATTTAAGAAAAAAAGAAATCACTATTTATGGAAAACTGGCTGTAAAAGGGGATTTGGTCTATTTCTCATCTAATGGATGGTAGAGGTAATTTATTGACCTTTTCTGGACTACCTATGAAATATAACTTATCTACATCAATAAATACATATGAGAGGATTATTCGTGGTAAATGGTCTGTATTTATATACAGTGGGTACGGAAAGTATTCAGAACCCCTTAAATTTTTCACTCTTTGTTATATTGCAGCCATATGCTAAAATCATTT